ACTTATCCTCGGAGAACAATGAGAGCTGTTTTGTTTCACATTGTGGCCACACTGACACCTGCTGGTGAGCTCTTGTAAATGCAGCTCAGGGAAATCTGATTTAAGGTGCCATTTAATACAAAACGATCTTTAACTGCAGGTAAAAACTACAAATCAAAACATATTATAAACAACCTTCACATCCCCCCTCCTGTATTTTATTGCTGTTCTGTGTTTTATTTGATCTTAGCTTTTTTATTGCTACTGTCTTTTTTAGTTATTTACATAATCTGAAATCCTTGTTCCTCTTGGTCTTTGTTTTACTGCTGAAGCTTAATGGATAAACTCTGATATTTTGTTAAACACTGCTGGATTAAATTAGGAGCATGTAAACACACAGGGTTACCTGTTTAACCCAGCTGAATGGGTCAAATATTCAACCCACACCGTGGTTAATTGTGACGATACTGCTGGTTGAGAAATGTTCTCTGTTGTAAACAAGTATCTCTCTCAAACCGCTCCTCTTCCTGGAATGAATCGTAGTTCGATCAGCCCTCCCTCTTCTTCCTGCTCTCAAACACAGCCTGCTGCACTCTGTCCTCATACTTCATGGTTCCCTCCCCTTTAGATCTACAGTTTGAGGATGGGTGTAACCAACAAGAGCTGCACAGTCACATGCACATCCACATGCTTTGTAGATCAGAGGTGAAACTTGTTTTCAGTTATGAGGAAGTGAAACTCAGACAGTCGTTGTTACCGAGAGGAGAAATGGCGCAGAAAGGAGTTCAGCTGAGCCGGGAAACCTTCTCTTGTTCGATCTGTCTGGATCTCCTGAAGGATCCGGTGACTCTTTCCTGTGGACACAGTTACTGCATGAAGTGTATTAAAAGCCACTGGGATACAGAGGATGAGAAGACAGTCTACAGCTGCCCTCAGTGTAGACAGACCTTCACAGCGAGGCCTGACCTGAGGAAAAACACCATGTTGGCAGATTTAGTGGAGGAGCTGAAGAAGACTGGACTCCAAGCTGCTCCTGCTGATCACTGCTATGCTGGATCTGAAGATGTGGCCTGTGATGTCTGCACCGGGAGAAAACTGAAAGCCTGTAAGTCCTGTCTGCAGTGTCTGGCTTCTTACTGTGAGAAACACCTCCAGCCTCATTATGAAGCAGCTCCATTTAAGAAACACAAGCTGGTGGAGCCCTCCAAGAAGCTCCAGGAGAACGTCTGCTCTCGTCATGATGAGGCGATGAAGATCTGTCGCACTGATCAGCAGTCTATCTGTTATCTCTGCTCTGGACAAACACAAAGGTCATGACACAGTCTCAGCTGCAGCAGAAAGGAGCGAGAAGCAGAGAGAGCTGGAGGTGAGTCGACAAAACATCCAGCAGAGAATCCAGGACAGAGAGAAAGATGTGAAGCTGCTCCAACAGGAGGTGGAGGCTATCAATGACTCCGCTGATAAAACAGTGGGGAACAGTGAGAAGATGTTCACTGAGCTGATCCGTCTCATGGAGAAAAGACGCTCTGATGTGAAGCAGCAGGTCAGATCCCAGCAGCAAACTGAAGTGAGTCGAGTTAGAGAGCTTCAGGAGAAGCTGGAGCAGGAGATCACTGAGCTGAAGAGGAGAGACGCTGAGATGAAGAAGCTGTCACACACACAGGACCACAACCAGTTTCTACACGACTACCCCTCACTGTCACCACTCAGTGAATCTACACACTCATCCAGCATCAAGATCGTCCTCTGAGGTACTTTGAGGACGTGACAGAGCTGTGTCAGAAGTCAGAGATAAACTACAGGACGTCCTGAGAGAGAAATGGACAAACATCTCACAGACAGTGACTGAAGTGATGTTTTACTGTCAGAACCAGAGCCCAAGACCAGAGCTGAGTTCTTAAAATATTCATGTGACATCACACTGGATCCAAACACAGTAAACACAGAGCTGTTATTATCTGATGGGAACAGAAAAGTAACATTAACGAGTCAGACCAATCCTTATTCTAGTCACCCAGACAGATTCACTGAATGGTGTTTTCAGGTCCTGAGTAAAAAGAGTCTGACTGGACGTTGTTACTGGGAAGTGAAGAAGAGAGGAAGAGGAGTTTCTGTAGCAGTCACATACAAGAATATCAGCAGAGCAGAGAGTTCGAATGAGTGTAGATTTGGACGTAATGACAAATCTTGGGCGTTATATTGTAACAACAACAGATATAACTTTTATTACAACAATGTCAAGACTCGTGTCTCAGGTCCTTGGTCCTCCAGAGTAGGAGTGTACCTGGATCACAGAGCAGGTATTCTGTCCTTCTACAGCATCTCTGAAACCATGACTCTCCTCCACAGAGTCCAGACCACATTCACTCAGCCTCTACATGCTGGACTCGGGTTAGATTTATGTTGTTTTGGAGACTCTGCTGAGTTGTGTAAACTGAAATAGACAGAAGTCATTAACGAGACAGATGTTTAACTTGCTGTGTTTTAAATCTTCAACTTGATTTTTATCCACGCTCGTTGATGAGATCTGATCGTGGTCACCTGTCAATCAAACTTCATGGCGGTACTTTGAACTCTTCTCGTCTGTTCTGTAAATGTTTGAATGTCTTTAAGTGACACTCCTTCCTGTGTCTGTTTAGCCGTGGACTCTTTCACTGCTCAGGATGACTTTTGTTCACCTGAACTGACATTTCTCTGAGTGATAAATATCAACTTCTCTCTGCTCTCCATGTTTGATTATTTGTTTTCATACATTTATATTTTCTGTTGTTTCTGTTCTGATTCAGGAGTCTGAAGAGAGAGAGAGAGAGCAGCAAACTTTTCTTTCATGCTGATTTTCTCTTCTCACCACTTTGTACATTTGTAGAAAATCTATAAAATCACACTTAAAGAAATGAGTTAGTCAGAATAAATGTTGTTGTTCATATTCAAAGTGATGTAAAAATGTCCTCTGAGGTGTTTTAAAAATGTAATCCTCCTGATTAAATCAATAAGGAGATAAATCATTGTTTTCTGTGAGTGGAGATTCTGATCAAACAAAGTGATTGTGTGGATGAAGTGAATGTGTTCATGAAATGATTGAACACACTTTACTGATTTGATGTGTGAACAAACTGAAGTTTCACATCCTGAATAAACTCACATGAACTAAATGTTTTCTTCTGGTCTTCATTGCAAACGTTCAAGTGAACAAAAAATAAATAAAAAACCTGCTACTGTTTGTACCCGCTGAGCTTCTGTATTCAGGAAGTTCAGCAGGAAATAGATGAAGTCAAATAGAGGGGGAGGAGCTACAGAAGAGAGGAGTAATGACCAGGTTAAGTACTCTGCATATCACTGGAAAACATTCATCTGCTCTTTGTGAGGTATGCAATCAAGCAGAAGCAGGTGAACATGTACTTACTAAATGTAGGAAGTATGTAACACATAGACAGAACAGGAAGTCAGAAATGGAGAGAGAGAGGGACTTGTAAGAAGAGAAAAGTATTTTGGAGGGTGGTGAAAGAGGGAGAGGCCGAAGATGCTTGTTTAAATCTCTTTTGAGAACAGGTCTGTTGAGGGATATTTAAATCCAGCAGATGGCAGTAATGACACTTTTCTGATGTCAGCTGCCAAAGAAGAAGAAGAAGAAGAAGAAGAAGTATTCAATTACAAAATCAGCTTTAAATCTAATTAATATAGATGTAAAGGTACCATTTGTAAAAACTGAATACAGAAGTAGAATCAAAGAAGGTCTTGAGTGGGAGTGGAAAGAAACTTTAGGAGAAGGAAAAAAAGAGGCAGACATTATTTTAATCCACAACCTTTAATTAGGAAGTCTGTCAGTTATTCTGGAAAGTTAAAATAACTCGACTGAGGCTGGGTCACTGTGGGTTAAACCAATATTTACACTCTATAGGAAAACATCCCAGTGGGTTGTGTGAGTGTGGCGCTCCTGAAACAGTTATACACATATTACTACAATGTAAAAACTAAACCTTACAGCCCTCCCCTCCCCTGGTATCTCCATGGACTCCACCTCCAGCCTAGAACAAAGTTTGAGCAGGTCCTCCATTTTTATTCTCTCTACAGAGGAGTGATGTCTACGGGGCGCGGGGGGGTCATTACATTTAAAGAGACACACACACCAAAACGGAGCGTTCTGAGAGAGCTGGTTTATACAGGGTCACAAACCTCCTCTGGTGCTTGATTCATGTTATATTTTGACCAAAGCACAGCACAGATGTTTCATTTAGACCACAGGGGACTGTTTGAAAAGGTGGAGGAGGACTGTTTGAAAAGGTGGAGGAGGGGACTGTTTGAAAAGGTGGAGGAGGGGACTGTTTGAAAAGGTGGAGGAGGGGGATCATATGTCCTCTTTAATGTGAGGCTCTAGAGAGCAGCATATCAATCTGGACCACTGTAATCCTGAAATACACCTGGAGCTCCTTTTCAACAGGTCAAAACTCTCCTTTTTATACATTTAGTGAAAGAGTCAATAAATGAACTTATCAGGTTGATCCCTCTGCATGATGAGCATGAGACATTCTGTCTGATATGCAAATTAATGGAAAATAAACACAGCAGATCAGTGTGCAAGGTGTCTGTGTAAAGTTTTTTAATGGAGCTGAAAAAAATGGCCTCTGTACAAAGGCCTTTACACCCACTTTTCTTTTTTAATCATACTTGTAACATAATGAGACAGTTACATTTTTTAAATCTACAAGCAGTGTCTAACTTCCCCAACAGAGAAAAGAAAAGTGGAATAACACAACAAAGCTAAAATTCTCCCTTCTTTCTGATTCATCATTAATGTGTGTTGTGTTCACTGCGTAGGAGGATCCTGAAGAAGGTGTCGCTTACGCCTCCGTCAGCTACACCAAGAATTGTAACAGCAAAGTCAAGGTAAGCGCTCTGATTGGACACACAACTGTTCATTTATATTGAGCTGTCGAGACATTTTAAGCTTGGGGTGAAAGGTCACAGGGAGGGATAATAACTTGTTCCAACATATATTCATCCTGTTCCCACAACATAATGATATTGTGCACACAAGGTTTTCAATTTTCACAAGATTAATAACTAGTTCCCAAAATATGAATAGCTTGTCTGACAAAAAAACAACTTATGGGGAGATGGTGGTCTAGCGGTTAGGTCGTGCCCCATGTATGGAGGCTTTAGTCCAGGTTCAAGTCTGACCTGCGGCTCCTTTCCGGCATGTCTTCTCCACTCTCTCTCTCCACAAGTTCCTACTCTATCCACTGTCCGATCAGATGACGGCTAAAAGCTGAAAAAATAAATCTTAATAAAAAAGAAACCTGTGACTGAAAGATGAATATCATGTGTGCCAAAGATAAAACCTTGTATCTACAAAATGATTGATTTATGCCCACAAGATAGTCGTTCCCAAAAGACTAGTATCTTAACTTGTTCCCTCAGGATGTGTTAATGTGTGTACAAGATAAATAACTGTTGGCTCATTTGGATCCATTACTGATGATTTATAAAGAAACTCTATATTTAGGGTGCATGCATGTTTTAAACCACGTTATGAGTTTGTTATTGTAAAGTGCTTTTTGTGTTTTGTTTGGCCTCAGGATCCTGCTTTGTTTGTTGCTTGCATCTTAATTTCAATGTGTTGAAATATGCTGAGTCATGTCCTGTTCTGATATGTTTCCTGCTGATTCTCGTATCCATAAGGCTGATGATGACGATGAAGGTGAAGCTGTGACGTACAGCACTGTGAGAGTTTCCTCCCCTGGTGCTGAAGCCTCCGTTGATCCAGCGCCTCTATGCCACCATCAACAAACCAAACAATGGAGAGACAAACGGATAGTTATCATGTCATTAATCTGATATCATATGTATATCTTAAGAGAAGAGTTTCATACTCTCACTTGGTACTTATTGCTTATTCTATTATTTCCATGTTATTTTATATTTTATGTATATATTTGTTAGAATGTATTTAAATTCCAGCAAGACTGAGATCATTTTGATTGGACCACAGCACCTGACTAAGCAAGTACTGCCATCTGCTGGTACCCTAGTAGACCACATCAAACCTGCTGCTAAACATCTGGGTGTCTGGTTTGACAGCAACTTAAATTTTGAGCAGCTCACAACAAAGCTTGTACAGTCTTGTTTTTATCAGCTCAGAAATATTTCTAAAATGTTTTAGATTTTAACTGTTAAAGACATAGAGACGATTTTACATGCTTTTATCTCATCACGTCTTGACTTTTGTAAAAGCCTTTTTACTTACCTGAAGAAAAAAATCTATCGATGGACTGCAGTTGGTACAGAACTCAGCTGCCAGACTTTAAACTAGAACCAGAAAGCATGAGCACATCACTCCTGTTTTAGCATCTCTACACTGGCTCCCTGTGTGTTTTAGAATTGATTTTAAGATTTTACTGATTAGTTTTAAAGCTCTCCATTCCCCAGCTGTTTATCAGACCTTTTACTACTTACAAACCCACGTGCACATTGAGATCCTCGGCTGAGGTCTCCTGGTGGTTCCAAATGCAAAATTAAAAACAAAAGGGATAGAGTATCGACCTGCCGAGGAGATCAGGTCGGCAGAATCACTCATCTCTTTTAAGTCCTTTCTTCTTAAGACACACTTTTTCCGGCGAGCCTTTCCTGATGTTTGTTGATTTGAAATTGTTACTATTTTCACTTTTTAGAATTCCTTTAAAAGAATTGTATTCAGTTCTTTTAAAAAAGGATTTTATATTTTCAAGTGATTTTTATTCCTTAATCTTTCCTTGTTTGATATTCTATGACCTGCCTGTTTTTATATTTGCTGTCCTTGTAAAGCACTTTGTTTTTGAAAAGTGCTCTATAAATAAAGATTATTGTTATTATTATTATTATTATTATTATTTGCATGTATTCATTCACCTTGGAGACTTTGTGGATATGTTAGTAGTGTTGCAGTGATCGAAATCGGTCTTAGTCTCAAGACCCGTCTCGTATCAGACCACTTTTTGAAGGTCTCGCTATCGTCTCTGAATCTAAAGCATTTTTACCCGCTCTTGTCTCGGCCTCAGACCGGGTGGACTCCAGATTTTAAACCAAGACTACCAATGATCTGCAAGAGAAACTGTAACAAGATAATCTCCTCCTGGGATTAATAAAGTACTTCTGATTCTGTGCGACTGATATGTTTGAAAGATTTAGAACTTCATTGTTCTTCTGTGTATTACTTTTATACAGAGACATTCAATCTTTATGTTTAAGGTCTTGTTAGATTTTTTTCTTTATCTTATTAAAAGGTTTCTGTTTTCATTTCTATTCATCAACTAAAATCTCCTCACAGGAGGACAAGAAGCTCTGATCTCCTGTGTTGAAGAGGAGTCAAAGGCGCAGTACAAATTGTAACAAGAGTCAGAGATAATAATAATAATAATGCTGATAATACTACATTATATTTTTGTAGCGCTTTTTAAAACACTCAAAGACACTTTACAGATTTACATTCAGACAAAAACAAGCTGAGGAAACACAAAAAATGAAAACAATGTCCCAGGTTGTTTGAAGGTCAGGAGGACTTTGAACTCGATTTGTTGTGGAAACGGGAGCCAGTGGAGGTTGTGGTGGCCAGAGGTAATGTGGTCACAGGAGCGGGAGTGTGTGAGCAAACTGACAAGTTGTGAAGTGTATTGAGGACTTTGGATGATAACCATAGAGAAGGCTATTACATTAATCAATCCTGAGGCTCAGCGTTCATTGAGCCAGGAGTCTTGTCCCGGCACCAGAGGCCGGGCTTCCAGTAGACGGAGCTCCTCCAACCTTCAGCGAGGTGTTCTGGCACTACACCACCGACGTCCCTGACGCCCAGTGTTACGCCGCTACACAAACCCACCGCTAAATGCTATCCTAGCACCTGACGCTAAGGCCAGTGACCCGTAACTTAATGGCTCTCCTTACGTGTTGCTTAAACGTGAAGGTGTATCCTGCCTTACCTGAGTGTGTGTGCATCTGTCCTGTCTGTTTGAGGGGTGCGTGTAGGTGACTCACCTCTAAGATCCTTGTACGTGCCGCGACCAGCTCACTCGGACAGCCGATCCACGGAGTCACTTGGGGTACGATCTCCTCACCAGCCCTCTCCTTCATATCAGTTTAGTTCATGTGTAAAAAAACCCGTGAAGTGTTGAAACAAAAACAAACGTTACTTCAGGTTCAGTCTCTCA